GTGGTGCTGAGGAATCAAACCCAGGGCCTCAGGCATGCAAGGCAAGCGCTCTACCACTGAGCCACCTTCCCAGCCCAAATTTTTAATTTTTTTTTTTTTTTTTTTTTTGTCGGTCGTGGGGCTTGAACTCTGGGCCTGGGCGCTGTCCCTCAGTTCTTCAACTCAAGGCGAGCACTCTACCACTTGAGCTACAGCACCACTTCCCAAATTTTTAATTTTTATATGTGGAATTTCTTCCTATTGACTATGGGGGAAGCTCAAATGGCGTCTTTTTTGTGCTGTTAACTATATATTATATACTTTGGAAGAAGAAGAAAAAAAAAGAAATGGGGCAAAGAAATGGGAAGTATAAAGAAGAATCCAGTGGGATTTTCAGAACTTTTCAGAACACGACAATTGGAATAAAAATCTCTCTGGATGAGATCAGTAGCTACCCAGTGTGACAGAGAGACAAAAGAAAAGGACAGGGCAGAGCTGGGCACAGGGGTTCACAGCATTAATCCCAGCTACGCAGGCTGAGATTTGATAACTGCTATTGGAGCCAGTCAACAGGAAAGTTCCTGAGACTCTTATCTTCTCCAATTAAGCACCAGAAAATCTGGAAAGCAGAGCTGTGGCTCACCATACAGCACTAGCCTTGAGCAAGAAAGCTCAAGAACAGTGCCCAGGCCCTGAGTTCAAAAGGACTGGCAATAAAGAAATAAAAATAGGCTGGGTCTGATGGCCATGTCTATAAGCCCAGCTACTAAGAAGGATCAGAAGGATTATATTTGAAGCCAGCCTGGGCAAATTTAGCAAGATTCCATCTCGACAAGCCAGGCTCTGTGGTACATACTTGTACTCCCAGCTCCATAAGAGACTGTAGGTTCATTTGTCTCTGAAGCTGGGCTGGGCAAACTATAAGACCTTATCTCAGAGTTGGCAAAGTGACTCAGTAGTAGAGTGCTTGCCTTGCATGTATGGGGCCCTGGGTTCGAGTTCTCAGCACCACATAAGCAGAAAAAGCCAAAATAGTGCTGTGGCTCAAGTGGTAGAGCGCTAGCCTTGAGCTGAAGAGCTAAGGGACAGCGCCCACGCCCAGAGTTCAGTCCCCATTACCAACCAAAAAAGAAAAAAAAAAAAAGACCTTATCTGAAAAAGTTAAAGCAAAAAAAGTTCTGGGAGTGATTCAAGTGACAGAGCGCCTACACAAGGCCCCACAAATCAATTAGAGCAACGCAGCATAAGTTATTTAAAACTTATGAATTATTTGTCTGTGGAGTTTCCTATTTGAAATTGGAGGGTGAGAGCCCACTGAAAAGTTTTGACAACCTGAAACTTTAGAAAGTGAAAGCTGGGCCAGGAGCCAGTGGCTCACACCTGTAATCCTAGCTACTCAGGAGGCTGAGATCTGAGGATCGCAGTTCAAAGCCAGCCCGGGCAGGAAAGTCTGAGACTCTTATCTCCAATAAACCACTGAGAAAACTGGAAGTGGCGCTGTGGCTCAAGTGGTAGAATGCTCGCCTTGAGCTGAAGATCTGAGGGACAGCGCCCAGGCCCAGAGTTCAAGACCCACAACCAACAACAAAAAAAGAAGAAAAAAAAAAGGAAGTGAAAGCTGGGATTTGCAAGAGGACTGCGGTACAAACAGTCTTACAGCAGGCAGGACAGGGAGGCAGGCTGCAAGCCAGAGGCTGGAGGAGGAACAGTGCTGCAAGGTGCACTGGGCGGTGCCGAGGGAGGCCCTCGTCCTGAGGGGAATGGCACCAGAGGGATCCTGGAACATGAGGGATGCCTGGCTGACATGTTAGACTGATGCACACAGGACAGCTCTGCGCTAGCGCGCGTGTGTGTGTGTGTGTGTGTGTGTGTGTGTGTGTGTCTAGAGCCACCACGTGCCAGTTCCAGGCGGACTGAAGACACAGCATGTACACAGCTATGCTATGTGCTACAAAAAGACTGAACATGATGACCAGGATGTGGCTAAAGGAACAGTGCTTGCCCCCATGTTCCAACCTCAGGATCGTGTAGACACTGAGGCCACACTTCCAGTGCGAAGTAATCAACAAGTTATGACTTAAGGGATGGAAGCACTTCCAAAATGGCTCCAGCAGACACCCTAAAAATCTCCACAGAAGCAACTAGACTGCTCATCACCTTTGTAATAGTTTAAAAAAACAGGTACACAAGAGAAAAAAATCTAAAAAACAAAAAGCAAGTAGAACATTGAGAAAAGTTGGAAAAATATCAGCTTTTCCAGGTCAGGCACGGTAGCTCATGCCTGTAATCCCAGCTAACAAGGCACTGGTAATAAGGACAACTGCAGTTTAAGGCCAGCGTGGACAAGAGTTAGCAACACCCATGTCAACAAATAAGCTAGGTGTCAGGACGTGCATGTGAGGACTCTGTGGCAGCAGCTACATGGGAGGCTGCAAAAACCTGAGACTTGATCTAAAAAAAAAACCCTGAAAGCAAAAGAGGTGTGGTTCAAGTGGTACAGAGTACTGTACAGCCAGTGCAAGCCCTAAGTTCTAATGCCAGTACTGCCCTCTGCCTCCACCCAAAAGACCTATCCAAAACTGTGGAAAGGCTTATTGGACTAGATAAGAATGCCAGAACCTTGGTGGCTCACACCTGCAATCCCAGCTACTCAGAAGGCTGAGATCTAAGGACTGTGGTTCAAAGCCAGCCTTGCAGGAAAGGCCATCAGACTCTTATCTCCAATTAGCCACCAAAATCCAGAAGTGGCGCTTTGGCTCAAGTGGTAAAGCGCTTGCCTTGAGCTGAAGAGCTCAGGGACAGCACCCAGGCTCAGAGTTCAAGCCTTACAACAGACTAAAAAAAAATAAATTTGGACCTGAGTGCTGTCTCTCAGCTCTTCAGCTTGAGCCAGAGCGCCACTTCCGGCTTTTTTCTGCTTATGTGGTGCTGAGGAATTGAACTCAGGGCCTCATGCATGGCAAGGCAAGCACCCTACCACTGAGCCACCTTCCCAGCCCCACTCTTAGCATTTTTAAAACTTGTACTTCTACCCTTGTCCTCTTTCCACTTCTGTGGGGGCCTCAAACGAGGGGTTCCAGCACCACAGTGACCACTGAGGGAGGCAGTGCAGGCTGAGAGCATCTCAAAAGCCCATGCAGAGCACTGTCCCCAAGTGACCTGGCTGCCACTCCTGAGGAACTTTTGGCAGGGCTGCTCTGCCTGACCTGACTCCGGGCTCCTGGTGTGTGAACAGCCTGCTACCCAGGGGGTTGTCACAAACCATCTGGCCAACCTTTCACCATGGCAGCTGCTGTAGGCAGCACAGATAACAAAGGAATTGGAGAAAGAACAGGCACTCGGGAAGGCCACAGGCAGGCTGGTGTAGGACACGCAGTGCGCATGCCTGAGGAAGGCCCACACAGCCCCCATTCCCTGCACTGCCCTACAGGCCTCTGAGCAGGTAGGCAGGGAAGGCAGGGCTGACAGCATGAGCCGGCGCACACGAGAGCCCCAAGCAGAGGCCGTTTAAGGTAAAACATAAGCAAAGCCAGAGACGCGTGTGGCTGCACAGAGTCAGGGCATGTGATTCACAAAACATACAACAGCAAGAATGCTAACACACAGGAAAACAATCCTGGAGGAGGGGGCCAAGGAACCCCACTTCCTAACAAGGCGGGGAATCTACATGATGCGGCAGGCGGCCGCTATGCAGTACTCAGTGGGGCAGAGGCCAGGCCAGGGCAGTTCATGGAGGTCAGTTTATGACAATGTCCTGAGGAAAGGGGACAGCTGCTTCTGGAAGGGGGCTTCAGGTGCCCATGAAAGGCTGGTGGCCCTGCACGAAAACTACAGCTGTCTACCCAGGAACTGAACCTGCCATACTATACAATGCTGCTGTCACTTGATCCTCTCTGGCAGGAGCCCCTCTTACCCCCAGGCCGTGCCAGCCTGGGATGGGCAGTGTCAGGCAGGATCAGCAGCCCTGCCATCCCCCACTCTCCCTTCAGTGTAGGGGGCCACGTGTCCAGCGCTCGGTTCCCAGCAATTCCTGGTGCTTTTGACAATTGTTTCCACTCATCTACCTTGGGCAACGGCGCAGACAGCAGTAACCTGGTGCAGAAGGACGAGCTATGGACGAGTGTTTGCTCTTCACTTAAAAGGACAGACCAGGCAAACACCACCTCTCTGTTCTTTCCAGTTTTTGTATTTGAGACAGTCTTACTCTGTAGTCTCAGGCTGGCTTCCAACTTACAATCTCCCTGCTCAGTCTCCTGAGTGCCAGGATCACAGCCATCGATTCTTCAGAGAGACGTTGGCTGGCACTGAGCCCTTCTCAGGAAGGCTGTAAGGGAGTGCAGTGAGCCACTGGCTTTCAAGAGACACTTGCCAATCAGTATTTTTTTTTTTCTATAAGAAAAGTAAACTAACTATACACACGCACACTCGTATTTGTCATGGGCTTGAACTCAGGGCCTAGGTGCTGTCCTGAGCTTTTGACTCAAGGCGAGTGCTCTACTACTTTGAGCCATAGCACTGCATCTGGTTTTCTGGTGACTAACTGGAGGTAAGAGTCTCTTGCCCAGGCTGGCTTTGAACTCAGATCTCAACCTCCTGAGTAGCTAGTATTACAGGAATGAGCCGCTGGTGCTTGGCTGAGTTGGTTTCTTTTACATGACGAGGCATCTGGAGGTGGGTGGCAGCCCGGTAGGCTGGTCTCTGGGCTGAGAATGTGCAATGACTGCCACAGCCATCACACAAGTCTGTGTTCAGAGAAAGGATCAATGCCTGCCTGCTATCCTTGCATTCCTGGGGCTGAGCAGGGAGATTGCCAAGTTTGAGGCCGACCTGGGCTACAGATTAAGACCCTATCTCAAAATAAATACAAAAATCCGAAAGAAGGGAGAGGTAGCATTTGCCAGTCTGGCTTTCGGTCTCTGGCAGTGAACCCCTCCCGCACTCTGCTCCCCACCTCAGTGCTGACAGCCCAGTACCCAACCAACACCAACAAATGTGCCCCCCAGAATGAGGACACCACTCACCTTCCACTTGTTTCTTCTGGTCAAGTTTCATCTTCTTTGCCAGTAATTTCTTCTCTTTTAATTTTTGGCTACAAATATAAAATACACATTGAATTTGAAACTATTTTATTGTATATTTTAGGAGACAAACACCTACATCTTAAGATTTTAACAGAACAAATACTTTTTCATTGTTCTGCTTCTCAACATTAGCAAGCTGTCTTATGAGTCAAGATCAAAACTATGGGCTGGAATGGTGGTGCACACTTGTAAGCCCAGCGACACCAAAGGTAGAGGCAGGACTGAGTTCAAAGCCAACTTGGGAGCTGGATGCTGATGGCTCAGGCCTATAATCCTAGTTACTCAGGAGGCTGAGATCTGAGGATCACAGTTTGAAGCTAGCCTGGGTAGGGAAGTCTATGACACTCTTTATCTCCACTTAAGCACCAAAAAGCTAGAAGTAGAGCTGTGGCATAAGTGGTAGAGTGCTAGCTTTGAGCATAAAAGGTCAGGGACAGTGCCCAGATCTTGAGATCAAGTCCCAGGACTGGCACAAAAACAAAACAGAATCCAGAGGGGCTCAGGGGAGCTGAAATGTTAAGTGCTGGCCTCATATATGCAATGTCCCAAATTCAAATCCTGGAATGATGAGGTTATCTCAGAAATGATGGCATGTGTTTCTCACTCCACATCTTGTAGGGGCTGTTTTTAAATTCCTGCTGTTAGCTTTCAAAAAGGATTTTTTACTTAAAATAGGTGCACAGGTTGGGGGTAGAGCATAGTGGTAAAGCACTTGCCTAGCATATATAAAGCCTTGGGTTTGAGACCCAGAACCAAAAATAAAATTCCCTCAGGGCTTTAGCAAGGCATAGCAGGACCTGTAATCCTAGCATCTAGAGCATAAATTTGAGGCCAGCCTTCAAAAGGGAACCTTACTGCATTGTAAACTTGTTCATCCACTCTGGAAAGAAGTATGGAGGTTCCTCAAAAGACTACACATAGAGCTCCCCTATGACCCAGCAATCCCACTTCTGGGCATTTGCCTAAATGATCACAAAAAAAGTCCACACTAAAGCTACCAGCACAACTATGTTTACTGCACTATTCACCACAGCTAAGATATGGAACCAACCCAGATGCCCCTCAGTAAACGAATGGATCAAAAAAATATGGTGTGTGTGTGTGTCTGTGTGTGTGTGTGTGTGTGTGTGTGTGTAATATATATATATGTGTATAATATATATATATATATAACACACACACATACAATGGAATTTTATGCTTCCATCAGAAAGAATGACACCGCCCCATTTGTTAGGAAATGGAAAGACTTGGAAAAAATCATATTAAGTGAAGTAAGCCAGACCCAAAGAAATATAGGTACCATGGTTTCCCTCATTTGCAATAATCAGTATACGTCTAGGATAATTTTACCAGATGAGCAGAAAAGCTCAAAAGCTATGTACATATAAGATGATGCTAAGTGAAATGAACTCCAAGATAGGGACACAAAAGGTCTTTCTTTGTATTTGTTATTTTTTAATGTACTATGTGATTTTTTGTTGTTTCCTTTGTATATTCATCCCCCTATGGTATATCCCCTGTTGTCACTGTACTTGATTTTGGTACCCTGCATCTTCTATATACATTTGACTAATTTGGAGAGGGGAAGGGGAATAACAAAATGCTGAAAAAGGACACAGGATGACCCATTGCAACAATGATACCCCCAAGACAGTATACTGGAAATGAACTTTACAACTTTGGGAATGGGGCGGGGGGAAGGGGGGCAGTGCGCAGCGGCGTGGAGGAGTAAGGGAAGTGAGGGAGGGAGGGAAGGGATAGTGGGAGAACAACAAGGGAAGGGGTAACAATGCTAGACAAGAAATGTGCTCATTGCCTTACTCATGTAACTCTAATCTCTCTGTATAGCATCTTTACATTAAAATAAAATTAAAAATTGAGGCCAGCCTGGATTACACAGCAAGACTCTGCCTTGAGAAAACAGAGGAAAAAGCCTCCTGTAAGCAAATGTGTGAATGCACACACATACCCTGATGCTCTGTAGACCTGAAGGAAGCACTGGGCCACCCAACTCTTGACTTCTAGTTGTTGACAACTAACAAAATTAAGTCTCTTACACCCACAACCCTGGCAGGAGCACAGGTGAACTTTTTTTTTTTTTTTTTTTTGAGTTGGAGGTCTATGCTGCCTAGGCTGGTCTTGAACTCATGAGCTCCAGCAATCCTCCCGCCTCAGCCTCCTAAGCAGTTGGGACCACAGACATGAGGGACCACAGGCATGTGCCCCACATGTGGCTGCAGGGGAACTCTGAGTAGGCTGGGTCATCATCCCCACTCCCATTCCCTGCTGGAGGTCCCATTGCTCCAGGACACCATGCTATCTTACCGCTTTCGCCGGCGCTTTGCAGTCTGTTCCTCGGCAGCTATCTTATTCTTTTCCAGCCGCTTCTGGAACTCTGCATCTAATTTTTGCTGCAAAAAGCCACAGCATTTAAGACAGACACACAAGGAAGCCTCTGGCCCACAGCCCTCTCCCTGCTGTGAGTCTGTAGTGGCTGCTCAGTGGAGAAGGCAGACCACAGGAAACCGCCCAGCCCCACCAACATCTCTTCCAGCACATTTCTAAAGACTGGGTGGGGCTGGGAAAGTGGCTCAGTGGTAGAGTGCTTGCCTAGCATGGATGAAGCTCTGAGTTTGATTTTTCAGTACCACATAAACAGAAAAAGCCAGAAGTGGCGCTGTGGCTCAAGTTGAGCAAAAGAAGCTCAGGAACAGCACCCAGGCCCTGAGTTAAGCCTCAAGGCTGGCCAAAAAAAAAAAAGAAGAAGACTGGATGTGTGCACTGCCCAACTGCAGGTATTCCAGCAAATGCTCACTGACCTTCTCGGCCATGGCGTCCATGTAGTCCTGCCGCTGGTACTCTCTACGGCGAAGATGCCTGTACACGTGGAACTCTCCACTGCCTGCCCCAGCACTGGAACCTGGAACCAAAACAATCCCAAGAACAGGTGAAATCCAGTTCCCAGCACAGGCCACACTTGACCAAAAGATACTAAGGCCAAAGCTGAAAAATGAAAGGGACTATGCCTGTCTGCTTTCAAGTGTATCCCGAGGCAAGGATAGTGCCAGGCACACTGTAGGTATCATGAAATCACGTGTTACATGACTCTTATGATGAAGTCATCAAAATTTCACGCTAAGCCAGGTGGGGAGGCTCATGCCTACATTTCCAGTATTCATGAGGAAGAGACAGCATGATCATGAGTTCTTACTCAGCCTGCGTTATCTAGTGAGACTCTGTTTCAAAACAAACCAAAAAAAAGGCCAGGTGCTGGAAATGGAGCTCTAACCTTGAGCAAAAAAGCTCAGGGGCTGGTGGCTCACATCTATAATCCTACTCAGGAGGCTGTGATCTGAGGCTCACAGTTCAAAGCCAGCCCAGGCAGGAACGTCCATGAGACTCTTATCTCCAGATAACTACCAGAAAACTGGAAGTGGTGCTGTGGCTAAAGTCATAGAGTGCTAGTCTTGAGCAGAAAAGCTCAGGGACAGCACCAAAGCCCAAAGTTCAAGACTCATGACTGGCAAAAAAAAAAAGCTCAGGACAGGGCTCAGGACCTGAGTTCAAGCTCCAGGACCAGCACCAGAAAAGGAAAGAAGGAAGGGAGGGAGGAAGGAAGTCTTTTCTCCATGACTTCACATTTAATACACTCCTAACAAGTCGAAAAGATATCCAGGATATCTTCAATGAAGAGGGAGTTACAATAATACTACATTTAGAACTATATTTTTGTAAAACGTTGTTCTTTATATGAGCAGTTTTCATTTACAGATTTGTTTTGAGTGGAATGATGGTATAATTGTGTATGCCTCTACTTATTTCTAGTTACAATTAGCATAATTTACATCCATAATCCAATAAAATAATACCCCCCCTTTGGTGGTACTGGGGTCTAAACTCAGGGCCTTAGCATTGCTGGGCAGGTGCTCTTACTATTAAGTCAAACCTCCAGCCTTTTCTTGCACTATTTTTGAGCTAGTACCTGGGTGTACATCTGCACTGTAATGAGCCTATTGTAGGCTTCACGTGGTAGCATGAGTCTCTAGCACCCGGCAACATTTCCATTTAGGGAATACACAAGGTATTACTTTTAATATGGAAGGAAGAGCTATAATGCCAAACTCTACACAACTATTTTGCTGTTCTCACAACAAAATAGTAGCTCACACCTGTAATCCTACTCAGGAAGCTGAGATCTAAGGATCTTGATTCCAAGCCAGCAGGAGCAAGAAAATCCAGAGACTTTTATCTCCAATTAATCATCAAAGAGCTGGCAGTGGTTGAAGTGGTAAAGCACCAGCCTTGAAGGGAAAAAAAAAAAAGCTAAGGGACAAACCCAGGCCTCAGGTTCAAACCCCAGTACCAGTAACACCCACACACTTAAAGTTATATTTTTACACATAAACAATGGCCATTACCCATTACATCACGAACAAATTCTGGGGGAGGTCTTGGTGCCCATTCACTCATTTTTTCTGGAATTGGAACAGCTTTGTCCTACAACAGTCCAAACAGGAAAGCACTTGTAAGGATAAACCTGCTAACCAAAGACTATGGAGGGCTGCTTTGCTCCTCAGAGCTGGAACTGATCCCAACACCCTCTGTGTTGGCTTTGCTTCATCCTGAACACTCTACACTTTCCAAATGTACGTTATTTTTTAGGTTAGAAATTTCCAAATCTTTCACACTTCTAAAGCCAATCTTTTCCAGTCAAAGGTGTAAGATCTTTTTTCAGCTGTTTTTACGATCTAGGTAATTCAGGCCCAGTCGGGAGTCGCTGGGCAGAGAAGGATTTGCACTAAGTGTCTACTCAGAGTAGAGAATACTTTTTTGCTAACCTAAAGGTTCTATCTTCAGTCAAATACTTTTGTTCAAAGAAAGCTAAACTAGGAACGGCCGTGGAGCCGGGCGTGGTGGTGCACACCTGTAATCCCAGCTCCAAGAGTCAGGAGCATCCACTTTAACCACCCCATCTCAGGAAACAACAGAATTGACAGGTTCTAGCGGCTCTACAGCACCAATAGGCAGCTTGCCTGGGCTCTGCACCAAGGGGAGACGTGGAGCTCACAAGCTCTGGGGAGAAAGTTAGGGTACTGGTCCTGAGTTCCTAAATGTGGTGGCGGGAAAGCGGGGTCCTGAGCACTCGAGAAACGCAGGCGCCCAGCGGCAGGCCTCGAACGGGCCGTGAAGCCCCAGCTTCTTCTCACCGGGTTTTTCATGAGCCGCTCCAGCTTGAGCTTCTGCTCTTCCGCCGCGCTCTTGGGGATGACGAGCGCCTGCGGCTCCTTCTTGGGTCTTGGTGGTCGCACGGAAGCGGCTGCGGAGCTCGCCATGACAGCTGCCCACCGGCTCCACCGGAGGAGCGCGACTGCAAAAGCGGCGCGCGCTTCTGACGTCAGACCGGCGCGAGCTCCGGGAACGCACGCGCACTCCGGGCACGCGGAGGGGGCTGGGCCGAAGCCGGGTGCTGAATATTCATGAGCCTGAGGCCCGAGCAGTTTGTTTTGATCCGAACTGCCGGTTCTAGTTCCTGCTTCTCAGCCAATCAGAGCGGGCCTAGCGCTCGCGTCACCAGCGTCACCAGCGGCCTTTCCCGCCGCAGCGGCCGGCTTCGTGGCCGGCGGATCTCCCTCTTCCCGCTTGCATGCTTGCATTTCTGACAGTCTCGTGTGTGTGTGTGTGTGTGTGTGTGTGTGTGTGTGTGTGTGTGTGTGTGTGTCCCCGTGCGCGCCTGGGACTTGAGCTCAGGGCCTCGGTCTTATACCTTATTTTTTGTCCAAGGCTGGTGCTCTACTACTTGACCCATTTCTACTTTTGGCTTTTTGATGAATAGTTGGAGATAAAGAGCCTCGTGGGCTTTTCGGGCTTGCTTCAGACCTGTCTTCAGATCTCAGCTTCCTGAGCAGCTAGGATTACAGGTGTGAGCCTCCAGCGCCCAGATCTCTCCTCACCCCCTCCCGCCTTTCCTGGGGGCTTAAATAGCCTGGGCGCTGTCCTTGAGCTCTTTTACCCTAGGCTAGCTCTCTACCATTTGAGCCACAGCGCCATTTCTGGCTTTTTTTGTGTGTGATTAATTGGAGATAAGTCTCCGGGACATTCCTGCCCGGTCTTCGTTCGAATCTCCATCCTCTGATCTGTCTCGTGAGAAGCTAGGAGTCACCAGGTGCCCAGCTTTGCTTTGACATTTTTATCATCCCAATATATGCAGAAAATGAACTGAGGCCCATGTGGAATGTCATTAGCTCAAGTTTACCGTGACTCAAGTCCAGTGGTCTGCTCCCAGGTCTCTGAGGGCCTGAGCAACTGTATGGCTGATGGGTGGGTGGGACAAGACATTGGAGCTATTCACATGGTGCCTTCCCAGGCCTGAGAGCCCCAGAGATAAAAGGTTTTACCTACCCTGATCCTGAGAGTCATTTCTCCGCCCGCAGAGGGCAGTAAAGTCCCACCCTGAGGTCCAGTCCTTTAAGACTGGGCATTTCACTCCACCTACCTGGAGATCTGAGCTGGGCCCCTAAGGAGTAAGGTCTGTGTCCCTGCAAGACACCAGTGTGTTGGGGTCTGGCAGACCTAGTACTGAAACCTGGTGCCACCTATGGTGGTATTGGGGAGCAGCTTATTATGGTGGTTTCCTTACACCCAGGGTGGGCAAAGTTGCCCTTAACAATGCCAGTGTTGAAGTGATGTCTGAATGTATAGCACCCAGCATAGCACAAACATACTAGGTGTTTCCCAGGATGTGGGACTTTTTTTTTCTTTTTCTTTTTTTTTAGCCTGGAGTTTGCTCAGCTTGCTTGCTCCGCTGGCATTCTATCATGCCTTCACCCCACTCCCCTTTGTTTTCTTGCTGATTATTTTGGAGATGGAGTCCCTCAGATTTTTCTTACTGGATTGATCTTGAACTTCAATCCTCTAGACTTCAGTCACCTATGAGAGCCATCCAAACCCAACAATATCCCTAACCCCCCCCCCTTTTTTTTTTTTTTTTTGACTAGTGCTGGGGCTCGAATTCAGGGCCTTGAGCTCTCACTTGGCTTTTTTATTCTACCACCTGAGCCACACCTCCACTTCTGGCTTTTTGTTGGTTAAAGGGAGCTAAGGAACTCATGGACTTTTCCAGCCTGGGATGGCTTCAAACCATGATCCTCTGATCTCAGATTCCAGAGTAGGTAGGCTGACAGGTGTGAGCTTCCATCACCTGGAAATGTTATGAGCTTATTGTTGTGGGGGTCAAACTTGGGGCAGGGCACTGTCCCTGAGCTTTTCAGCACTCTACCACTTTGAGCCACAGCTCCACTTGCCATTTTCTTGTGATTAATTGGAGATAAAGAGTCTCACAGACTTTCCTGCTTGGGCTACCTTTTAACTACAATCTTCAGATCTCAGCCTCCTGAGGTAGCTAGAACTACAGGCATGAACCACCAGTGCCTGGCTTTTGTTTTTCCTGCCATTCCTGGGGCTTGAACTCAGGACCAGGGCACTGTCCTTGAGTTGCACCCTACCATTTGAACCAATGTGCCCCTTCCGGCTTTTTTTATGTGGTACTGAAGAACGGAACCCAGGGTTTCATGCATGCTAGGCAAGTACTCTGCCACTTAAGCCACATTCCCAGCCCTTATCTTGTTTTTTGTTTGTGTTGGTCATGGGGCTTGAACTCTGGGCCTGGGCGCTGTCCCTCAGTTCTTCAGCTCAAGGTGAGTGCTCTACCACTTGAGCCACAGCCCCACTTCCAGTTTTCTGTGTGGTTTACTGAAGATAAGAATCTCACGTACTTTTCCTGCTTGGGCTGGTTTTGAGCCACAATCCTCAGATCTCAGCCTCCTGAGTAGCTAGGATTACAGGTGTGAGCCACCAGCCCTTATCTTGTTTTTTGACACAGGGTATCAGCTACCTTTCTTCTGGCTGACCTTAAACTTGAGATACTTGCCAGGTGCTGGTGGCTCACTCCTGTAATCCTAGCTACTCAGGAGGCTGAGATCTCTGAGGATCACAGAAAACAGTCTGAGCAGGAAAGCATGAGAATCGGCTCCAATTAACCACCAAATAGTTGGACTGGCACACAATCATCTCAGCTCTGATTTTTGTTGAATTTAAGCTTCAACACCTGCATAATCTGGAGGCGTATTATTTATTTATTTGCCAGTTGTGAGGCCTGAACTCTGGGCCTAGGTGCTGCCCTCAGCTCTTCAGCTCAAGGCTAGCACTCTACCAGTTGAGCTACAGCTCCACTTCCGACTTTTTTGCTTATGTGGTGCTGAGGAATCAAATCCAGGGCCTCATGCATGCAAGGCAAGCACTCTACCACTAAGCCACCTTCCCAACCCTGGAGGTGTATTTTTAAATGTGCAAGTATATGAGGATTTTCTAGCTATTTCCTCTTGTTGTTAATTTCATTGCTCTTGATTTCTAGCTTATTTGAATTGTGGTAAAAGATGATCTGATTATTTCAATCCTTTGAAATGTGTTTAGAGACCAGTATATAACTTTTGTGAATGTTTCATGTCTACCCTGGATAGACATAATGAGTTTGAACTCAGGGCCTCGTTCTTGGCTAGCCAGCACTCTACTGCTTAAGTCTTACCCCAGCCTTTTTTCACTTGCCTTTAATTTTTCAGATAGGGTCTGAAGCTTTTGTTTGGGCTCGTCTCAAGCTGCAATCCTCCTATATCTACCTCCCAAGTAGCTGGGATTACAGGTGCCTATACCATACCCCATGTCAGTTCCTAATGCCAAATTCCCTGGCTGGGCACTCAGGACCCTCTCTACCTGCTGCACCTTACACCTGCTTCCTCTCACCCCACATCCATAGTGCCAGCATCATCATCCAGGGTGTGCCTGGTCCCAGGGCTTGGCCCAGCCCTCTGTCAACACCCATCACACTGCAATGGGCCTGCCTGGCTGCCTGCCTGGCTATCCCACAAACAGTCTGGCCTAGAGCCAGACATCGGAAACACTCATTGAGAAGCAACTGAGTCCACTTTGAAGATGCTGTTGCCATCTGCCTGGCTGCTGTGATTTCCCCAGAGTCTGGAATCGGGCTTTGTGGAAGCACCAGTAGGAGTGACAGGCCTGAAGGTCTTGCTTCCTTTCCACATACAATTCTTGCATGTCCCCTGAATTCAGATTCACTTTGGAACACTGATGGAACCGTGCCTGACTGCTGATCTTTTTTTTTTCAGTCATTGGGGCTTGAACTCTGCGCCTGGGCGCTGTCCCTGAGCTCTTCAACTCAAGGCAAGTGCTCTACCACTTGAACCACAGGACTACTTCCCCGTTTTCTGGTGGTTTATTGGAGATGAGTCTCATGGACTTTCCAGCCCAGGCTGGCTTTGAACCGAGATCCTTAGATCTCGGCCTCCTGAGTAATTAGGATTACAGGCGTGAGCCACTGGTGCCCAGCCCTGTCTCACTTTCTCATGTTCTGTGCCCCAAGGTCAGTACCCTGGCCTGCCTCCTTCCCATTCTGTTCTGAGGGAGTGAGCCCTCCGAGGGAGCCAGGGGAGTGGCCTCAGTCTTGGGGCTCTTGCTCAGCTAACTGGCTAGAGAGGACAAATCCTCGTGATCAGGACAGAAGGCATCACACAGGGCCCTGGCCAGCCTGTTTCTCTCCCCAGGTGCAGATGAGTAGGGGCTGGCACCAGGCCTGGCAAAGGCCAGCGTGGGTCAGAAGGGCTGCATCCATAGTGGAAGGAGAAATCCCAAGGGGGACTGATGTCACAGCTCTACTAAAGCCCCCTCTCGAACCCTTATCCTCTATTCTTCATATCATTGTCTCTGTTGAGACAGAGCTGGGCAGGGACCAGACACAGTGGGCTTGGATGGCGTTGTGAAATGGCTGTGACAATCCGTGATACAAAGAGCCACTTTCCTTCCTGTGGTGCTGAGGCTCACACTTAAGAAAGGACAGCAGAGCCCAGATGTAGTCCCTAAAACAGGCTCTTTAATAAACATTTGTCTTCACTGAAGAGCTTCCTTTCACCACAGCCTGAGGCTGGGGCCTGTGGGCGCGGCCCGCCACGGGTGGGCGGTCCTACATGCCAATCGGACGCGGCCTACCGCAGATAAGCAGGTCATGCGGCCAATGGGCGGCCTTCGCCGGGTAGGCGGGCCGTTCCGCTGATAGGGCGTGGCCTACCGCAGACAGGCGGCAGTGCCGCGAAAGAGCCCGGCTTGTCCCGGGCAGGCGGGGCCGAGCCGCCTTGGGCCCTAGTAGAAGGAGTACTGATTCTCCACGGCGCGCGCACGGCCGGGCGCTCCCTCCGCGGGCTCATCGCTGGCCCCGGCCGCGGCCTCCAGCAGGCGCTCGGCGCTGTTGCTGCGACTGCGCGCGCTGAGCGGACCCTCGGCGGCGCGCGGAGGCGCAGGCACGGAGGCGGTGGAGGCCGACGAGGTGGACGAAGAGGAGGCTCCTCCGGGGGCCTCCGAGGGCGAGGCGGGCGGGCAGGCGGCCGCGGCCAGGCTGGAGAAGTAGTGCTGGCCGGCGGGCTCGGCCCAGCAGCCGGGGGCCGCGGGCGCGACGCCACTGGGCGATGGCCCCGGGTCTGCAACGGAGGCGAGCGGTCAGCGGGAGCCCCGCGCCCCATGGCACCGCGTGCGGCCCGGTGTGCGGGGATCCACCTCGCTCACCCCGAGGCGGCGACTCCCTCCAGTCCCAGTACCTATTCTTGATTCCTTCCGATTCTCAGGGAGGGTCTGGGGGCGGTCCCTGAACTTTGGTGCTCAAGGCTGGCGTTCTACCACTTAAGCCACAGCTCCACTTTTGGCCTTTTGGTGGTTCATTGGAGATAAGAATCTTACTGACTCTCCTTCCTAGGCTGGCTCTGAATCCTCTCAGCCTCTTTGAGTAGCTAGGATTACAGGCATGGGCCACACACAGTGCTGGCACCTGTATCCACTGATGGTCCCCCATAGCTCACACTTGCCATGGCCAGCCTGGGAGATGGGATGTGCCTGAGACTGGACATCACCTGGTGTCATCTGCCCTCAGTAGTCATGCTGGCCACCTGCGAAGTGAGTTAATCCCCTAGGCCAGGTATAGGGACATCTTACCAGGTAGTGGGCCCTGGGCCCGGACATAGCTGCGCAGGGTGATATCGGCAGAGCCCCCAGACTCCAGTGGGATGGGGTGGGTGTGGAAGTGGCGGAGCATGTCAAGCACAGACTGGAACCACAGGTGTTGCACATGGCACTGGCCGTGGCCGTTCAGGGACAGACGAAGGTGCTGTGGACATAAGGTGGGAATGGTCAGTGAGGCAAACTCTGGCTGGCCGCCTGCCTGGGCAGTGCCGTTGGAAGCCTAGGCCTTCATGATTCCTGAGGCCAGAGGGGCTGGGTGGGGAGCTGGGGCTTTCACATGTGCCCTACTTCTGGGGGTGGGGCCACTCCTGGGGGGGGGTGACAGCTCGGCTAAAATGGAGGGCACAGATATTTGCCCCAAGTTGTGCCCAGGCTCCTGCTGTTCACCCCATCAACTCTGTCCCCCTCTAAAGACTTCAAGAGGAGCTGGGCCCTGGTGGCTCAAGCATGTAACACTAGCTACTCAGGAGGCTGAGATCTGAGAATTGTGGTTCAAAAGCCAGCCGGGAAGGAAAGTCTGTTAGACTCTTATCGCCAGGAAACCAGAAGTGGCGCTGTATCTCAAGTGGTAGAGCACTAGCCTTGAACTGAAGAAATGAAGGACAGGGCCCAGGCCCAGAGTTCAAGCCCCGCGACTGACCAAAAACAAAAAAAGACTTCAGGAGTAGGAACTCCCTATATGGGAGATGGGGAAACTGATGCCCAGGGAGAACTTGTGTGACTGCCCCTGCTCTTCAGGAAGCTAGGGGCTGGAAGGGGGAGTGGGCAGGAAGGAGAGCCTGCCTTGCCACCTACACAGGGTGGGCTGTGAGTGAGTTCTGCCATTGGCAGGACAGAAAGTTGCCAGGAACAGTGTGCAGAACCTTGGGAACATGAATGGCAGCTAGAGCCAGGACACAGCCTGAGGAAAACTGCAGTGTGCTTAGATCTATATAGAGACAGGCCTCCTGACTGGGCAGGGTCTCTGGGGGCAGCTGGACCCCAGGGGCAGGTGTAAGCAAGGCAGGTACACCTCCACATTCTGGAAAACCTTCCAGACATATCAATTACTTGAGGGCAGAAAGAGCTGCACCTCTGTAGAAAGAGGGTGGTGGGGAGAGTGAAAAATCTCCCTTCCTTCCCTGCCAGGGCTGGGCGGGGGGGGGGCGGGGGGGGGTCCATGCCGTTCCTACCCCTAACTTATCAGATAGGACAATCCCCATCATTCCGGGAGAACGGAAGCCAGGCAAGGGGAGCACAAGTTCAATGATGTCTCTTGCCCATCCTGCTTTCCCTTCTTTCCAACCCTTGGCAGCCCCAGCACTGTGTGAGCCCCTGGCCTAGGCATGCATTAGACGCTCCTCAGCTCCCTGGAGAGGTTGTGCTGGCCAAAAAGGAAACCACCAGCTGCCAGGGATGGCGTTGATGCTTATCACAGAACTGCTAAGGGCGGCTGCCTTCCAAGGAGGTGAGCCTAGGGCAGTGCCAGCCAGTGCTACCCAGAGAGCCCAGGGGTCATGGGGTGGTAGAGGGAGGGGGTAGTAAGACCACCAGGCTGATGGATGCATACTGACCACCAGCTGCCAGCTGTGGCAGGAGACCTGGGGTGCTCCTCCCTCCAGCGGGGGCTGCCAGGAAACAGAGTTCTGGAAGGTGCCAAGGCTGGGTCTGTTTCCTTATCGGAAAAGTGGGCAGTATGGGGAGGATTCGGGGATTCGGGCGTACTGCACCATAAAACTTGGCTTTCCTGTCCTGTTAGCAGCCCTGCCTGTGAGTGATCATGGCGCACCGGGGCCATGGCTCCTTGGAGCACACCTCTGCTCATGTCCGGCCCTGTCTCAGGACCCCTCCGCTGCCCCCACCAGACCCCAAGCAGCCCATGTGGCACAATCCTCCAGCCCACCGGTGTCTCCTTTACATCTCTGGTCTGAGCACAGGCCTGGCCCAGAGCTGGAGCCCTGGCAGGGTTGAGGGTGAGCAGAGAAGGGGATAGGGTATTTAGAGGTGGGAGGAGAGGCAGATGGACCCTGGGGACAATGTCTCCATGAGACATGCCATGCCATGCACTTCTTGGTGCCCAGCGACCGAAGGCCTTGCCAGCTTAGGTTCTCACACTGGCCTGGCCACCAGCTCCCCACGGCCAGTGTGGGCTGGTTCGTGGGAAGACATGTCACACCTGCGCACCTGAGCCTTGCCCAGAATCAGGGAGCCCTTGCCCGCCTCGGCTGCGCGCCCACCCTGCAGCCTGCATGCACGCTTGCCTTGGCCTTGCCCTGGAAGTTGAAGGTCAGCACGTACTCCCCAGGCCTCGTTTCGCTTTGGCGGATCACGAAGAGGCCGTGGCTCCGGGGCCCTCCTGCCAGCACCAGCTGAGCGGCCTTGACCCGAGACAGGGTCCCATGGAACCAGGGGTAGTTGGAGAGCTCCAGGCCCGGCTCAGCTTCAGGGTCTGGCTCCACGCCTTCCTCCCCTGGGGTGCAGGGTGACAGCATGAGGGGGTGAAGGGACAGAAAGGGCAAATAAATACATGAGCTTTTAGAACTAGGCAGAGCCAGTCCCTCACTAGTTAACCGTATGAGGTAAACTGAGGCATGGAGAGGGGAAAGTCAGTTTACGAGTCAATCTGCCAGTCAGAAACACGAATCAGCAAGTCAAGCCTCAGTTTCTCCAACCTGGTTCCAATCCTCTGTATGACTTTGTATGAGCATTTTCTTTTCCTTTCCTTGTTTTCCCATAACACAGACTCCCTATATAGCTATCCCCCTGCCTCAGCCTCCCAGGTGCTGGGATTACAGGCGTGAGCCACTCTGCCTGGCTCTACAAGCATTTTCTTTTTACTTTTTTTTTTTCCTTTAATAGTCCTGGGGCTTGAACTCAGGGCCCGGGCACTGTCCCTAAGCTTCTTTTTGTTCAAGGCTAGCACTCTAGCCACAGCACCACTTCTGGCTTTTTCTGTTGATGTGATACTGAGGAATGGAACCTAGGGCTTCATGCATGCTAGGCAAACACTCTACCACTAAACCACATTCCCAACCTCTACAAGCATTTTCTATGGCATCCAGGAGCCTGGTGCCCAGATGTAGGATGAAGGGAGTGTTCCAGGCTCCGCAAGGGTTCTAGGGGGTGCCATGCTCCCTGTGCTAGCACAGGGCCTGGAGAGGAGGCAGGGAGGGCCCCTGGGCACCTGCACTGCTGTCATTGCCTCCGCTGCCGCCTGGGGACTGCAGGGTCTGCAGGAAGGTCTGTAGTGGGACGTGGAGCAGGGACTCTCCCACAGTGTCTCGGACCCGGCCATGTGGGGCAGTCACCACGGCGGCCGCTGTCTCTGGGGGCCGCGGCGGGTCTGCGGGTGAAAAGCATGTCCCTTGATCTGTTCACCTGCATGTCCACCCCTCCATCTCTGGCCCCAACTCTTCTGGCCAGCTCTGCTCCCACCTACCTTCCGTCAGGAGCTCACAGCTGCAGGAGGCCACACGGCTGGCCAAGCAGCCTCCCTGGGAGCAGGCCACCTCGAGGTCTTCCTCACAGTCACTGTGCGGGTGACAGGGTACAACACATCGGGTCATGGGGCCTGCGCTGCTCGGAGTGCCAGGCCCCACCCTGGGGTCATGGTCATTCTGCCTCTCTCTCAGCAGCCTCTGTGACCACCGCGTGACCAGAGACCACCAAGTGCCATAGGTGCCCCAAGGCTGCAAGATCTGAAGCCAGGTGTGGTGACTCATGCCTACAATCCCAGCTACTTGGAGGCTGAGATCTAAGGATCAAGGTTGAAGCCAGTTGGGCAGGAAAATCTGTGACTCTGATCTCCAAAATACCAGAAGTGGAGCTGTGGCTCAAGTGGGAGAGCACCAGCCTTGAGGGGAAAAGCTAAGAGACAGTGCCCAGGCCTTGAGTTCAAGCCCTAGTACTACCACACAAATAAAATCTCTATCCACCAATTCTGATTGCCCAGCACCAGGGCCTAGCAAGCCCCTGCCCCACCTGAGGCCCTGGTATCCATCAGTCCTGCTGCCTCTGGAAGTCTGCAAAGCGAGGTGCAAGGTTCAGGCTCACAAGGGGCTGGAAACGGTTTATAGCGTGGATGGTCAGCAGGCTAGCTGTGGAAGTTTCCACGGTGGGTGGGCAGGGCCAAGCTCACTGGCTTGGAACTTTAACTGTGCTTCTTAAACGGACTTGTTCATTAGAAGGCATGACCTCCCATCCCTACCACCCACCCCCCCCGCCCCCGGGCAGGCTCACATTGAGAACCCAGGTCTCCCCAGGCCCTCAAACGTCTAGCCCGGGATCTCTGACTGCACACAGCTGCCCCAGGCACTGATGTCCCCACCAAGTCCATCTGCTCGACCCTCTTTTTCTTGTGTGCATAGCAGTAGTAGGGTTTGAACTCAAGGCCTCACACTTGTTCAGCTGGCATTTTACCACTTGCACTATACCTCTAGCCTCACTTCTGGCTAGTTAATCTAGAGATAGGGTCTCATAAACTTTTCTACCCGCAAAGGTCTGGGACTGAACTCCTGTCTCAGCCTCCTAAGTAAGCTAGTGCTATAGGTGTGCCCAGTTCTGCTTTTTTGGGGGGTGGTATTGGGGACTGAACTCAGGGCCTTATGCTGGATAGACAACTGCTCCACTTGGCCATGCCCATGGTCCTTTGCTTTTAGTTTGTTTTTAGTGAGGGTCTTACAGTCTTGCTGGGAGCTGTGATTTATCTAGCTCTACCTCTGGGTAGCTGGGATTACAGTGGTGCTCCCCTGCACCTGGCTTTGCTTGGTTGTGTGTGTGTGTGTGTGTGTGTACACATATGCACCAATACCAGAGCATGAACTCAGGACCTCATAGTCTTGCTCATAGTTTCTTGCTCATAGCTGGTGCTCTACCACTTGAGCCATACTTCCAGTCTAGCATTTTGCTGGTTGGAAATGGAATCTCACTAGCTTCTCTTCCCCGGACTGATTTTGAACCCTGCTCTTCCAGGTCTCAGCTTCCTGAGTAGCTGGGACTACAGATGTGAGACACTGGCACCTGGCCATCAGCTTTGGTACCTGGTGGGGGGCTCGTACTTAGGCTTTGGGTCAGGTGTGCTCCTTACCTGTGGCCTTCTCTGGGCTGAGCTGGGGGCCGCTAAGTAGCCTCTTGTCACCCGTTGGGCTCCCCCATCAGAGCCCATCTGCCAGAAGTTTGAGACTCCCATAGTGAGGACAAACATGCCCACCTTTCCTGATTCCCAAGTTCTCTGGGGTTAGCAGGGTGGGGCTGAGGCCCAGAGAGGACCTGATGAGAATGGCGCCTGCCATGTCCAGGAAAAGGAGCAGCACTCCATCCATCCCCATCCAGGAGCCATGCAGTACTCACCCAGGATCCACACAGCCCTGGATGTCAGCCACCCACGAGTGCTTCTGCAGGGAGTCAATGGTCTCCAGGATGTACTCGGCTCCATTCTCCACCTGTGGAGGGGGCAGCGCTCCAACCTCCACCCCCTGGGGGGGCCTCCCACCATCAACCCCATCTTCCCTGTCATCCACCCGTCATCAGAGATGACAGCCTACCTGGAGATGAGATCCAGCCCCACCCCCCCATATCCTCAGGGCCCCTTCTGCTGGCTGGAGAGGGTGGCCAAAAGTCCCTGGGTCCTTCACAGATTCGGTTTAAGTCAAGAGGGGGACAGGTGGCTCTACACACTGGGTCAGGGGGTTCAAACCTTGGGGACTAGAATTTCACCCCAGAGAAGCCAGGACAACTGCCCCACTGTATGGGGCACTCTGGAGGGAGGGAGGTCCCATACCGTCCTTATTCAGAGGCCCAGGAAGGCCCGGAGCCATACAGCAGCTACCTGGCTGCATTAGGATCTGATCCTATCTTTGAGGCACGATGTCCCTGTTCTCAGCTTCCTGTCCTGTGCCTCTGTCAAAATGCACTGTCACACTGGGAGGTCCTCGGAGACCCCCTTCCGTGCCTGTCCAGACAGATGGGGAAACTTAGGCTTACAATGGGATTGGCAGGCGCATCCCTCTGCCTTGGGGCTTTTGCCAATCAGCTGCCCAGGGTCCACCCAGCAAGTGGATAGGGCCATGTCCTCAGCCCCAGCCTGGTACAACTTGGGGCACAGGGCTGGCAAGGTTGCCCAATGAATAAGGGAGTTTATGACTAAGTAGAGCTGGGTGGGAACATAAGGCTGGGCAGGGCCTGGGAAGAGGGTTGGGTCCCCCCCCTCCCCCCCCACACCACACACACATCCCAGGGGACTCAGCCTGGCAAACCCTGCTGCAAGCAGGTGTACCTAGCAGGGCCTAGCTAGTCACACTCCAGTGCCCTGAGATGGGGCATCTGTATTTGCTACAAGCTGGCCACCAGCTTTTGCCATGGGGTGGGTGTGCCTGACTGTGGTGGGAAACAGGGCGGGGAGGAAGTGAAACTTTGATGAGTCCCTGGGAGGAAACAGGAAGGGGCCTGGGACCCACAGCTCCACTGCTAAGCTGGAGACTAAGGCCCTTGCTATGAGCTGGGTGCCTGTCATGGCATCCTAGGTCTCCTCCTCGCTCCTGGCTGCTGTGGGGTCCACTCCCTCCCAACATGGCTGCTGCCACCCAGAAAGTCATGGCCTGGAATAGCCAGGCTGTCATTAGGGTTGTCGGGGAGCTCACCTTGAGCACGAACGTGTTGTCCTTCTCAGGCATCTCCAGGGGCATGGTGGTCCGCACCTCCATGATGGCCGACAGGGGGATGCTCACCTTTGGCCTGGAGGCCTGCAAGGCCAGAGGGGGATGGTGAGCGGCTCACAACACTCGATCTGCCCTTCCCAGCTCCCAAGGTCAGAACGGCCTTCTGCTTAGACCCCAGAGGCCAACCTGGCATGGAGGTACACCCCTGGTTCCTGGTTGGCAAGTTGAAGGAGTGTCTCTACCGTCTCATGACAAGCTTGAGTCCCAACCTGTGAACCCCACTTGGGCTGCCCACTGACCAGTTTTTTCCCCTTTTTTAGTTTTTTTGGTGCTGGTATGGGGGATTTGAACTCAGGGCCTGTGTGCTCGCCTTACATTTTTCACTCAAGGCCAGCAACTCTACCACTCAAGTTACAGCTCCACTTGAAGATTTTTGATGGTTAAATGGATTTAAGAGTCTCACAGACTTTCCTGCCTGGACTGGCTTGGAACCTTGATTCTCAGGTCTCAGCAGGTGTCAGCCAACAGGGCTCCGCTTGGCCTTGGCTCCTATTCTTGACCTTGAACCACAGTAAGACATGCATTTAACTGTGTCCCAAGGCACAGCTGGGCAGGTAAAAACATCTGCAACAAACATTTCACTGGACAGCATTTACCCTTGGTGTGCATCCTATTTCTTAGTCTATTCTAGTACACTAAAAACATGGGGAACCAGAGCCAGTGGCTCACAACTGTAATTCTAGCTACTTAGGAGGGAGAGACCTGAGGATATACTTTGAAGCTAGTCTGGGCAGAAAAGTCCATGAGACGCTTCTAACTACCCAAAGAACAGGAGTGGAGCTGTTGTATAAGGGTAAAGTGCTAGCCTTGAGAAAAAAAAGCTCAAGGAGAATGCCCCAGCCCTGAGTTCAAGCCCCAGGACTGGCACACACACACAAAAAAAGCTGGGCTCCAGGCTGGTGCACAGGTGCAATCCCAGTACTCTGGAGGCTGAGGCAGGAGGGACTGAGTGCCAGGATAACCTGAGCTACACAGTAAAACCCCAAGGGGTAAGAGATGTGGTTCTCTCAGTGGAGAGAACTAGCATGTGCAGGCCTTGGGTTCACAGCATCAGCACTACGAGGAGAAAAAAAAAAAAAAAAAGCCAAGGGCTGGGAAGGTGGCTCAGTGGTAAAGCGCTTGCCTTGCATGCATGAGGCCCTGGGTTCCATTCCTCAGCACCACATAAGTAGAAAAAGCTGGAAGTGGCGCTGTGTCTCAAGGTAGTAAACTGCTAGTCTTGAGCTGAAGAGCTGAGGGACAGCACCTAGGCCCAGAGTTCAGACACCACAACCACCACCACCACCACCACCACCACCACCAACAACAACAAAAAGCTGAGCCAGGCACTGGTGGCTCATGCTTGTAATCCTAGTGAGTCAGGAGGCTGAGATCTGGAAGACCGTGGGTTAAGGCTAGCTCAGATGTTAAAAGTTTGAGAGCCTGGCGCTGGTGGCTCACACCTGTAATCCTAGCTACTCAGGAGGCTGAGATCTGAGGATAGAGGTTCAAAGCCAGCCCGGGCAGGAAAGACTGTGAGACTCCTACCTCCAATAAACCACCAGAAAACCGGAAGCTGCGCTGTAGCTCAAGTGGCAGAGCACTCACCTTGAGCTGAAGAGCTGAGGGACAGCGCCCAAGCCCAGAGTTCAAGCCCCATGACCGACAAAAAAAAAAAAAAAAAAAAGTTTGAGAGACTCTGTCTCCAAAATAATCAGCAAAAAGCAGGGCTAGAGATATTGTTCAAGTGGTAGAGCACCTGCCTACAAAGCATGAGATACTGGGTTTAAACTTCAATACTGAAAAAGAAAAGAGCTGAGAATGTGACAGCGCTAGAGTGCTTGCCTAGCATGCATGAAACCTTGGTTTGATTCCTCAGTACCACTTACACAGAAAAAGCCAGAAGTGGTGCTGTGATTAAAGTGGTAGAGTGTTTGCCTTGAGCTGAAGAGCTGAGGGACAGTGCCTAGGGCCAGAGTTCAAGCCCCACAACCAACAAAACAACACATGCAGATGCTAAAGCCAAAATGCAAGGAGATATGACAAAGTAAACAGGGCTCAAGAAACAAAGGACTTCTACTCATTTTGTCATTGCTAAATGGCTCCATATTTTTGACCACGTATATGGTATATATATATGCACACAACTGAGGGAAGCTAGGAGGACACAGAATCAGGGGGAAACGGGAAAACATACAAAAGAAGAGCCCATCAGCTGCACATAGATGAAAATGAACTAAGCAACTCAAAGGCAGCAATGGGAGGGAGGGAATGAGAGGGAAAGAAGGAACAACTTACACTAAGCAAAAGGAAAGAAATGTAAATATCACCTGATGTGGAAGAAATAGTTGTATTGTCAAAGCTCATAGAATTCACAAACTTTATAGACCATGATAATGACAATGTGCCTTGTGAAGGTTAAAATGTGTTTTGTGACTTTAAGTATCAATATTCCACAACACTGTGAAATACGTGAAGTTTATATAATCATCTAGGTAATCTCAATAAAAAAATTTTAAAAAAGAAAAAGAAAAGGAAAGACAGCCTCCTGGCTCGCACTCATTCTCTGAAGTGAGGCCTGGCGTTCATGTCCCAATATCACCGCACAGTTCACCCAAGGTGGGCTGGCAGCGTGCCATGGGAAGCATGCTCAGGGCCTTGTTCTGGGCTCGTGTCCTGGTCCAGAGACCTCCAGAGAGGCCCAAGATGGGGCTTCCTGGCAGGGCTTGGACTCTAGCACAGGGACTTTCTCAGAAGGAAAAGGGCGGGCGCACGGTGTACAGGCAGTAGGAATTCCTGGCAGGCCTGGAAACTTTTTTGTTTTTTTTTTTTGGTCATGGGGCTTGAACTCTGGGCCTGGGCGGCTGCCCCTCAGCTCTTCAGCATAAGGCGAGTGCTCTACCACTTGAGCCACAGCGCCACTTCCAGCTTTTTCTGCTTATGTGGTGCTGAGGAATGGAACCCAGGGCCTCAGGCATGCAAGGCAAGCGCTCTACCACTGAGCCACCTTCCCAGCCCCACCTGGCCACTCTTCAGCAGGCACAGGGCTGGGATGGGGTAGTGATGGAAAGCCTTGACTGCAACTGGGGGGCAGAGGCCACCGTATAGGCCTGGCCTGGGACCTTGGGCTCTGGTCCTTGGCCTGTTATCTGAAACCCTCTGTCCTGGCCTCTAACTTGTCCTGCCCAGCTCCTTGCAGGGGCTCCTGAAGCTCAACCTGTTCAAATCTACATTCAGTCCTGCAAATACGGTTACAGGTTTCCTGGTATACCAGGAAATGCCTAAATTGGCAGGTGTTTGGACGGTGTTATGGACAGTTCCACTGCTCACTTTGACAGTACTGGAGATTGAACTTAAGACTTCATGCTTGTTATGGAGGTGCTTTACCACTTGAGCCATACCTCCAGTCCTTTTTTGCTTTCAGATAGGATCTCTTGATTTCTGCCTGAGCCGGCCTCAGACCATCCTCCTCCTACATAGCTATGCCTTCCACATATTTGGGATTAAACGGGCATGTACCACTGTGCCAGGCTTGTTTGTTGAGATGGGGTATCACTAACTTTTGGGGGGGCTAGACTGGCCTCAAATAGCAATCCTTCCATCTCTGCCTCTTCCTGAATATCTGAGATTACAGGCATGAGCCACTATGCCTGGTTTTCATTGCTTCCCAGACCCTAAAGGCTGGCCTGGCATAGGGCCATGAGGGGACATGGAGTCTCTTCCTGCAGTGGTGAGAGGTCAGGAAGCCAGAGACTTGAGGTGGGACATCAAGGGCTGTAAGAGGAAGTCTAGGGATGTTGGGAAATGGTGCCTGAGCCCACACACCCCCAGCTCCCGATTGCTCCCAGGTGCAGCTAGCTCCCCTGGGCCAGGCAGATCTGCAAGGGAGTGTCAATAAGGGTGCTCTAGGGACTCCTTAAGTCAGGGGCCAGTCTCCTGGGACCAGGCACATTCGGAATCCCGAGCCATGAGCCAGGGCTGGGACCTGTCCCCAGGGTGGTGGCATTGAGAGAGGGTGGGACTTTTAAGAGGTAATTGCTAGTAGACAGTGATTGGATCCTTCAGGATACTATGCTGGGAAGAGATTAATGTAGTTCTCAAGGGAACCTAGCTAGTTGTCTGCAGAGTGAGTTGTCGTCAAGTGAGGTTACTATGCACTTGCACAAGCCCATTTCCCTTCTTCTCCTCTGCCATGCTGAGGTCAGCCCTGACCTTCAGAGGCCAAGTGCATGGGGCTTCCCGACCCCAGACCTTAAGCTTCCAAAGCAGAGTGAAATAGACCTTGTTTCTTAATGCATATCCACCTCAAGTATTTTATTATAGCAACAACAAGAAAGCCCCAATATAGCTGGGGGCAGATGGCTCACGCCTATAATCCCACTTACTCAGGAAGCTGAGACCTGAGGATCGCAGTTCAAAGCCATCCTGGACAGGAAAGGCTATGAGACTTATCTCCAACAAACTACTCAGAAAAAGCTGGAACTAGTGCTGTGGGTCAAGTGGTAGAGTGCTTGAGTTGAGCAAAAAGAAGATCGGGGACAGCATCCAGGCCCTGAGTTTAAGCCCCAGGACCAGCAAAAAAAGAAAGAAAGGAAAAATAAAAAGCCTAATACTCCAGGATGTAACATACTGCTCTTCCGTCACATCACTCACTCCTGAGTGCCAAAATATGCTCTAACACTTGCCAGAAAATAAGGCCAGGTGGAAGCAAGCTAAGAAGCCTCTGGACTTCCTCAAAATTGGAAGGCCCACTGGCCCCTCAGAAATCTCTGGGTGGAGCTGGAAGGCTCTGCAGGGATCAATGGAGGGGACACCAGAGCCCTGCTAGCCACTCCCCACCCCCCACAGCATATATGGCTGTTTAGAGACCGCAGCTGTGACTGCCACTTACGGAGGGGCGGTCTCGCTGTCTGCTATGGGTCTGAGGAAGTTCAGCCTGGGATGTGTCTCAGGGATTTAAGGCGAGCAGCTTGGGCTGGCACAAAGCCCTGGGGTTGGGGGCACAGCTCTTCAGAGGTGGGGAGCACCTCTCCAGGCTCTGTGGGCTGGGTACCTCCCCAGGCTTTGAGGATCTCACATCTGGAGGAGTCAGGGAGGAGCACGTGGAGACCCCAGAGGACGGAGGGAGCTGAAACGGGTGCCTAGAGAGACGGGAGGGAGTGGACCCCAGGATAGGCAGGTGCTGGGGTGTCTCCCGCTGCAATGCCAGAACAAGCCTCCAGTGCACAGGAGCTCCACACCCTCATGCCTCTCATCTCCACCTCCCATTCTGATGTCAATATTAGGGCTTGCACTCAGACCCTGGGTGCTGACTCCTAGCTTTTACACTCAAGGTTAGCACTCTACCACTTGAGGCACAGCTCCATTTTTGGCTTTTGGCTGGCTACTGGAGATTAAGAGTCTCACTGAGTGATGATAGATAGCTTACACCTATAACCACAGCTATTTAGGAGGCTGAGCGCTGAGGATCGTAGTTCAAAGCCAGCCTCGGCAATATAGTCTGTGGGCCACTAGAAGTGGCGCTCTGGCTCAAAGCTCTAGAGCTCTTGCCTTGAACAAAAGAACTCAGGGACAGTGCCTGAGAGTTCAAGCCCCACCACCACAAATGATGATTGGATGAAGATTCTTATATCTCAGCCTCCTGAGTACTTGGAGTTACAGGTGGGAACACCAGCACCCGGATCCTCTCCTTTTTTGGGGGGTGGAGGTGGGCAATCCTAGGCCTTGGACTCAGAGCCTGGGCACTGTCCCTGAGCCTCTCTGTGCTCAAGGCTAGCACTCTACCACTTAAGTCACAGCACCAATTCTGGCTTTTTCTGTTTCTGTGGGACTGAGGAATCGAACCAGGGCTTCCTGCATGCTAGGCAAGCACTCTACCACTAAGCCACATTCCCAGCGCCCCGCCCCCCACCTCATTCTTGAGCGCCTCGGGGTGGCCACCGGTGACAGTGGGGGGCCGCGGCAGGCTCTCGGGAGGTCTGGGGACCAGCAGCCCCAGTCCGCAAAGCAGGCGGGTTTGCAGGAGACCTCGCGGTGCCCCTTGGGCTCAGATGGCGCAGAGAGGCGGGAGCCGGGCACCCTAGAACCCTGTCCCGGGTCCCCCCGAGCCCGTGCTCACCTTGGGCGGCACGAAGAACTCCAGGCGGAAGCGCTCCCCGGCGGCGGCGCCCGCCCTGCGCAGCAGCAGGCGGCAGCGGTGCCACTGCGCGGCGCCGGGCCCCGCGTCGTCGGCCACCATGAAGCGCAGCGCGCCCTCGCGCTGGACGTCCGCCGGCTCTGCCCTGCCGGCCAGCGCCCGGGGCAGCCGCAGGCGCCGCGCCCGCCGCTCGCCGCGCTCCCGGGACTCGGGGGGCCCCGCGTCGGGCTCGGCGCGCCGATGCCACAGGTCGCGCACGCCGTCGGCCACGCACAGCCCGAGGTGGCGCAGCGAGAAGCCCTTGCGCCCGCGGGCGCGGGGCACCGCCGCGTCCGCCCCGTCCGCCAGGTCCTCGGAGCTGCGCCAGCGGCCGCGCGCCCGGAGCGGCTCCGCCGCGCCCGCCTCCTCCTCCTCCGCCGCCGCCGCGTCCTCGTCCGTGCTGCCCCGCACGCGCCGCACCTCCGCGCCGAACGCGTCCAGGAAGCTCCGGGCGAAGTGGCGGGCGAACGCGGCGCCCGCGTCCGGGCCGTCGTGGGCCGGATGGTCCCGCAGGAAGCGGCAGAACTCGAGCGCGAAGTCCGCGGCGGCCGCCTGCGCCTGCAGCTCGCAGAACTGCCGCCAGTCGGGGATCCGGGCCGGGCTGCGGGCGCCGCCGGGGCTCGCACCATTCATGGCTCCGCTCCCATCGCAGCTCCCTGCAGCTGGGCACAAGAGAGGGTCACTGTGCCACCTCCCCACGCCTGTCCCGCCTCCCGCCATCCCAATCCCCTTTCCACCCCAGAGCCTTTGCTCAGGCCTGGCTTTCCCAACCCTCCTTCGGATTTTGCCCAAATGCTACTCTTGCCCCACAGCCCAGACCCCACCACTGTATAGCCCAGTGGTAAACACCAGCTCTGGCCAGCCAGGCTCCTGGCACTCCTGGCCTGCCACCCACTTCTACTGCCATCCCAGGCTGTGAATCTGCTCGGGTGGAAGTGCCAGTTCCACGAGGCAGGACCGGATCTTGACAGTGTCGCGGGGGGCAGCGGCGTCCCGGCTGGACTCAACCTCAAGTGCTCAATGGAATGAGCGACATGACTACATGATGTGACACTGGTGTGCCATGGTTGACCCTGCCAGGCCCAGGCCACAGAGCTTCCTGGTGACCAAGACAGGGTGTTCTGCCTAATCCTGACCACATGCTCCACCGGATGGAGGTATATAAACAGGGCTTCGATCTCAGCAATGTCTTCATCCACCCAGGGAACTGAATTTTTGTTTTGTTTTTTCTTTGTGGGAGTCTTGAACTCTGGTCCTGGGCGCTGTCCCTCAGCTCTTCAGCTCAAGGCTAATGCTCTACCGCTTGAGCCACAGTGCCACTTCCAGTTTTCTGGTGGTTTTTATTGGAGATAAAGAGTTTCACAGATTTTCCTGTCCAGGCTGGCTTTGAATGGCGATCCTCAGATCTCAGCCTCCTGAATGGCTAAGATTACAGGCGACAGCCGGCTGGATTTTTTTTTTTTTTTCCTGGTTAATTGAAGATGAGAATCTCAGATTTTTCTGCCTAGGTTGGCTTTGAACTTTAAGGCTCAGATCTCAGCCTCCTGAGCAGCTAGGATTACAGTTCAGGGTTGGAACTTGTGTATTTGTGTGTGTCAGTCCTACAGACTGAACTCAGGGGTTAGGTGCTATCCCTGGGCTTTTGTGCTCAAGGCTAACACTCTACCACTTAAGCCACAGCTCCATTTCTGTCTTTTTTGGTGGTTAATTGGAGGGAAGAGTCTCAGACTTTCCCACCTGGGCTGGCTTTGAACTGCGATCCTCAGATCCTCAGTACCCAGGATTATAAGCATGAGCTACTAAAGCCAGGCTGGCCTGGAACTTTTTTTTTTTTTTTGCTCAAGGCTAGCACTCTACCACTTGAGCCTCAGCGCCACTTCTGTCCTTTTCTGTGTATGTGGTACTGAGGAATCGAACCCAGTGCTTCATGCATGCTAGGCAAGCACTCCACCACTAAGCCACATTCCCACCCCTAGAACTCTTATCCTGCTTCAGCCTCCCCAGTGCTGGGAGGACGCAGTGTTTCAGGACACCTCAGTGTGTCAGTCAGTCACTGGGGACTCTGTCCTTGTCACTCAACGTGGCCAGCATCCCTGGGGGAGCAGGTCCTGCAGTTGTGTGCACCCCTCCCCTCTCCATTTTCCTCTGGTGACCTTCACCCCAGGGAGCACAGGCAGGGAAGGGGCTCTGCCCTGGGAACCCTTTGTCTGAGGCTCAACACTGATTTTATTTTTTAAGTACTAGAGATCAAGTTCAGGACCTTGTGCTTAGCAAGCAAGTGCTCTACCTTTCAGCCATGCCCCAGTGCCTTCACATTTAGTTTTTCAGAGGATCTTGAGCTTTCGCCCATCTTGTCCTCAGACCAAGATCCTCATAACATTCCCTCCCAAGTAGCTGTGATTATAGGCATGAACCACCACGCTGGACCCAGGAAAGACCCATTCTTCTGAGGGGCTGCTGTTCACCTACTTTCCCAGAGTCTCAGCTCCTGACCTGCCCCTCCCTCTTGGCTCCTGGAAAAATAAAAATTAAAAATCCCAGGATCTCCAATCTTCTGTGGGAGCCAAGCACTGTAATTAAACACCAGGTAAAAATAGCCGCCCCACTTCCTGAGATCATGGCAAGGCCTCTGGGCCCCAAGGCACCATAGGAATTCCTTCTCTCCTTGGGGCAGCTCAGGCTGTGGATCAGCTGTCAACAATCACAGGATCAACCAGGGGTGGAGGGCTAGCCTAGGAGAGGCTTTCATATGGGGAGAGCTCCTCAGAGACCCTCCTCGGGACCAGGGCAGGACAAGAGGGGTCAGGGAGTTTCCTCCAGGAGGTGGGAGGACTTCTCAGGACACTGGAGGTCAGCGTTCATGAAGATGTGGGACGGCTTTGCCCAGATCTGACCCTCTTCCTGCCCTGCTCTACCTCCTAGTCTCTCTTTCATAGTTAGTCCAGGAGATGCTTCCTCCAGGCAGACCTCCCAGCTTCTCCTGCCCAGGCTGGCCAAGCATCTCCTGTGGGCTCACAGCCCCCTCCTGTGTGGCCCTCCAGCAGCTGTGCGGGTACCCTTGGAGTCTATTTCCAGTTCCATTCCCATTCTCTGTGAAGCCAGTCATGGGGTGGGGGTGGGGCTCCAAGCCCATTCATTCACCCAGCAGCCCCGCCCCTCCCCCCCCCCCATCCTGTACCAGCAGGGGCTGGACTGAGTAGAGCTGGGAAGGTAGGCATGGCTGCCCCTGAGGCAGAGAATGAAGGTAGGAAGTCCGCCCCAGCACCAACCCCTGGCCCTCCCTGCTTTCCCCTGGCAGAGAGAAGGGCCAGGGCAACTGTCCCAGGCAGGGGCTTCATTATGGCTCTCTGCAAGTTGAGGTAAGACTCAACAAGGCTTCTACCAAGACTGGCTCTTGTAGTCACACCTGGGCAAGGAATGGGGGGGGGAGCAGGGGGGTCTTCCCTGACCCTCCTTAGCCACCTGGAAGGCTGGCACAGGGCTGGCTACACAGGTAGAAATGATGGAGTACCTAGAGGGGAAAAACCTCCAGGCCAAGTGCAGCAGTGCATGTCTGTAATCCCAGCTATCTGGGAGGTGGAGATAGAAGGATCATGGTTCCAGGCTTGCCAGGGCAAACATGCAAAAGCTGGAGAGTTTATCTGAGGAAAAGCAAAAAACTGAAAGCAAAAGGGTGAAGGTATGGTTGGCTCCAGTGGTAGAGTGGAGGAAGAAGGCAAACTAGTGGTCTTGAATTCAATCCTCAGTACTGGGAAGAAGAAAACTTTCAAGTGGAGTTACAGTTCCATGTAGAGTTCAAATGCTGAGACTGATGCAGGCCCAAATGCCCGTGGGAAGGGAACAGTGAGCGGCAAGTGCACAGATCTTGGCTGAGCTGGGCTTAAGGTCTGACCCTTGACCCCCTGAAAGACAGATGCTGGCCACACTCCAATCCCCGAGTGTGCTTTTCCCCGAAAATGGAAAAGTTAGGACACCTCTTCCTGGAAGTGAGGTGAACTCTGCAACTACTTTTTTTTTTCTTTTTCTTTTTAGTCTTTCAGGGCATTGGGGACTCAGGCTTGGTGCTTGCTAGGCAGGCACCCATGCCATTTGAGCCTTTAGTTTTTCAGAGAGAGTCTTGTGCTGTGGCCCAGGCTGGCCTCAGAGGTCAACTCTTCTACCTCAGCCTCCTCAGTAGCTAGATCACAGACATGCACTGCTAATACCTGTCATGTTTTTCAGATAGGATCTAACTTTTGCCCCAGGTTGGCCTCTAACCACAATTCTTCTCTCTCTGCCTCCTGAGAAGGGATTTTGTAAAGGTCTAATCCACCTGCAGCTGTAGACATGGCTCCCCAATCTCTGGGAGCACAGTGGACAGTAGGCATGTCCTGTCCAGCCGGGCTGATGCCCAGTCACTTTGGGGAAAAAGCAGGGTGGAAGGAGTCACTCTGTCCCCACTGTGGGGGGAGCCTGGAAACTCTGAAAACTGAACCCACCCCTTCCTCCATCTCTGCCTGCTCAGCTCTCCTCCTCAGCCTCTGCAACTCCTCTACTTTCACACTACACCTGGCCCTCTTCTTCCCAGAGCCCGCCCTGTGCTGACCCTCCCCGCCGGGGCTGCTGGGGCCCTGTGATTCTGGGCCCTCCTGTTTTTGTGGTGTCTCAGCCCTGCTCCAGTGGCCCCTGGGGGGCTAGAAGAGGTGGGTGAGTCACTATGGGGAGATGCTAGCTCCAGCTTAACCCAGGCTCAGCACCCAAGCAAAGGACCCAGAACTCTTGATTAGTCTTTTTCACTTAAGGCTGGTGCTGTACCATTTGAGCCACAGCTCCATTTCAGGCTTTGTGTTGGTTATCAAAAGATAAGAGTGTCAGAGATATGTCTGCCTAGGCTGCCTTCAAACCTCAGTCCTCAGGCTGCAGCCTCCTGAGTAGCTAGGATGACAGACATGAGCCACCAGGCCCCTGCAGGGCCCCTGATTCTGAAGAAGGGTCCTAGAGTCTTTTGACATCCAACTGTCAGCTGTCATCCCACTGGGACCAGGGACAAGAGACAAAGGAAGTGATCCAGGGCTCAGCCCCCATGGCACTGGGGTCTGTCCCTCCCTCCGCAGCCAGACGGACCCCCATGGAGAGCCAGCCAGACACAGACCCAGGGGGGAGGGGGGCGCCAGCTTCCGGAGGTAAAAATAGAGCTGACAATCGGAAATGGAAAAAAAAATCCAGTCTTTGCCTCCCCCCGCCCCCCACAGTTCCAGACCCCAAGGCCCGGACTTTCCATAAAATATTGATGAGCACTAGGCTTCTCGGCTAATGGTCCAGCAACCAACCGATCGGCCTGCAGTAGGCGGGACCGATGGGCAACCACGCCCCTAGTGTGTTGGGCCAGTGGACCCACAGCCACCTCCCCCGGGGACCGGAGAAAACTCTGCAACTGCAACGTCTCTGCAAGTTCACCTCCCCTCATCCCAGGAGCCGCCAGCCACGGAGGGCACCCAGGCAGTGTCCTTTCCACACGAAGAGGGGCCCCACGCACTCCTGCTCAAGCGCACAGCTCTCCTTCCCTCCCTGCTGACATCCCCTCCAGCCTCCTCTGTACCCTCCCTGTGCAGACAGCCCTCTATCCAGCCTGAGTGGCTCCCTAGAGGGCACTTGGGCACTGGTCCCCAAGGCCACACCAGCCCTCCCCTTCCCCTTCTTCAGAACCACAGCCTCCTGTCCTGGAGAAGTGAGGCCAGAATTCCTCACCCTTCCCCACAGGGATCTGTTCTTGTCCTGAGACCTGGCACAGGGAGGAGGGAGAGTGACTTCTGGGGCTTTCTCCTGCTTTCTTTCAGACAGGGTCTTGTTATGTAGCCCAGGAGGGTCTTGAACTCTGATCCTCCTGCCTCTGCCTCACAAAAGCTCAGACTGCAGTCCTGGGTGGGACCCAAGATCCTTGACTGGGACTCTGCTGTAGAAATGGGGGGGGGGGCTCTGGTGATGGGGAGAGGCAGATAGAGTTCTTAGGGCCCTGCCCTTGAGTTGGGGGGTCTGGGTGGTCTTGGCCTTCCCCAGCATTGTTCTCATAGCTAGCTGTCCAGTAGGGCCAATTATCCTGCCTCCCCCCCCCCCCCCCAGCTGCTGCCTAGTACAACACTCCCTTAGAGGAGAGTATTTGGGAGGCCCAGAACACCCTGCTGCCTCTCTCGCAACTCACCCTCTGCCACTGTGTGTATGTGTTTTCCTCTACAAGCCCTGCTGTTGGCTGGTTGCAAATTCATTTTATATACTGGGAAGTTGTAAAAGCTAAAATCTGAGGATTAAGACTCGATGTCAGACAGGACAAGAAAGACTCTTATCTCCAATTAATCACCAAAAAGATGAAAGTGGGGCTGTGGCTCAAGTGGTAGAGCGCTAGCCTTGAGTGAAAAAGCTCAAGGACTTAGTAACGGCATACATGCAAGCGTCTGTGTGTGTGTGTGTGTGTGTACACGCACGTGCACGCACGCACACACACACAAAGCTGAAATCTGGAGCCAGATGGCCTTCATTTGAGCCCCAGCTCCTCAGCTGTATGACCCTTTGGCCTCCTGGGGCCTCAGTTTCCCATCTGTTACTATGGAGGAGTACGCCTGCTTGCAGTTCCAGAATTCCACTGGGGCTTAGAAGCCCAAGCATCTGGTACCTCCCATGCATTCACCTCTTTCCCTCCAGCTGCTTGGGGCAAAGGCCGCCTCCCCATTTCCTACAATGCAGCCTCCAGTGTGACCCAGGGCAATCTCAGGAGCCCACATCTAATCGGGTCATGGCCCTGTTTCCAGTCTCTGAACTCTCCCATCTTCCCTGTAAGAAAGCATTCACTGTGACAGATTCTGATGAGAAGGTGGCCAGCCCCATTTGCTGCGAGGTTCCTGTGCACGGGGGCCAGCACAGAGCCTAGGGCAGGAGAGGGGTCACAGATCCATCTCAGGACAGCACGCACTACTCCCCACACAGACCTGTTTCTGGGAGCCCCTCCCTCTCTGGGGACAGGGAGGGGAAATCTCCCCAAAGCAGGGAGAAATCTGAGAGGGTGGGGAACCAAGGAACCCTCAAGCTGGGACCTGCATGAAGTCTGGGGCAGATAAAGAGGGCCAGGGGTCAGACCCATGAGCCGTGCTAGAGGTGTCCATCCTCCTTCATGAACACCCAGTGCTGGACAGTTCCTCGATAGGCTCTGTGGGTGGAGAGCAGGCTGGGCTGGTTCCAGCTTCTCTCCAACTCCACCCTGCCTTCCTGGAGTTGCAGGAAACACCTCCTCATCAGCCTGAGGATCTTGGCCCCTCCCTCTCCCCCAGCATCATGGACCTCACTTGGGCTTTGTCCCCAGATGTACAGGATGCTCCCCACCCCCACCCTGTGGCTCTCTAGCCTTCTGGCTTTCCCGTGACACAAACACACACACCTGAGACTCGGGTGGCCTCACTGGAGCTCCCAGAACTCTGGCCACTTGCAGATGCTACCAAAGAGTCTTCCCTGGGTTTTTATTTGCACAAGTCAGCATCCTGGCCTGGCATCACCCAGTTTTGCTGCTCCAGTAGCTGGCATGCCAGGAGCTTAGAGGCCTCTGGAGCACCCATTATCCCACCTGGCCTTTGCCCTGCCCCTCCATACCTCACAGCTGTGGTTTTGTCCACCAGCAGACTGTGGACTCCAAGTGATCCCTACCCTCAGAGGGCCTCAAGCATCTGGAGAATGCAGAAGAGTCAACTGACACTGCACTCCCCCATACGGCTCTCCTGGCCCCACTCTACCTCAGCAGGTGTGGGCAGTGACCTTGTGTTGAGGTCACACCTGCCTCCTCAGGGACAGACAGAGCCAGAGAAATAGAACTAAGCAGGACGGGGAGAGCCCTCCACTGGTGCCAGAGCCCTGGCCAACATAATGATTCACATGGACACAAGGGTTGGGAGGGGAGGCCAGCTCCAGGACTGCAGGGGACCACACTTAACTCCCTTTCCCTGTGCCCAGGCTGGGCAGACCCTGCAAGCTGCTGGACCCAGGCTCCTGTCCCTGGGGGGTAGGCTGGGAGAGCCTGCTCCTGGGCCCGGTGACCTCATCTCACCTCCTGCAGGTTAGGAACACTAGTAGCAACAACCCACACGCCTACTGGGATAATGACAGTCTGCTAGGCCTCTAGAAGCCCAGGACCTACCCCCCAACACCCCAAGGGAAGCCAAGCCCTAAGCTGTTGAAAATCCTCTCTAGAGACTTACTCTAAGTAGGGAAGAAGGGTTTGGAAACTTTAGGGAAAATTTTCACAATAAGAACAAGAAAAGTGTAGGCATTAACCCTTGGCTACCTGTAGCCACTCAGCTATGGGCATCCTCAACTTATTGGCTACCGTCACACACTGAGGAGGGAGTGGGAGGGGTGGGTCCTGGAGGCTGGGGGTAGAAGGTCTGGTATGGTGATCCATGTCTATAATCCAGCACATGAGAGATTAAGAGGATTTTTTTTTTTTGGGGGGGGGGTCCAGTTGTGGGGCCTGAACTCTGGGCCTGGGCTCTGTTCCTCAGCTCTTCAGCTCAAGGCTAGCGCTCTACCACTTGAGCCACAGTGCCACTTCAGCTTTTTTCTTTTTGCTTATGTGGTGCTGAGGAATTGAGCCCAGGGCCTCATGCATGCAAGGCAAGCGCTCTACCACTGAGCTACCTTCCCAGCCTCTGAGAGGATTATCTTTAGGCCAGCCTGGGCCTCTTAAACCCTGTCTTTAAAAGTTAAACAATAAGTAAATAAATAAAGAAGAAAATGAAACACTGGTGCTTCATGCCTAGCTATTCAAGAGGCCGAGATGTGAGGATCAGGTTTCAAAGCCAAACTGAGCAGAAAAATCTGAGACTCTATCTCCAATTAACCAGTAAAATGCTGGGCTGGAGGCCTAGCTCAAGTGGTAGGGCACCATCTGTGAATGGAAAAAAGCCCAGAGAGAGCTCTGAGACTTTGAGTTGAAGCCTTCAGTACCTTAAACTCCCCCCACCCCCACAAAATAATAGGTGGAGGAAGCAGCTGATGGGAAACTGCTGCCCAGACCCCCACAGAGCCAAACCCGAGCAACCTAACAGGATTCGTGCCAGACCTGTTCTAAAGTTCTGTCACTTCCCAGACCAGTGGCTTCCCAGACCAGGAGGGAGACTTGGAGGGAAGAGATGTGGAGGCAGTATAGAGGCCCTCAGATCACTCCCAAAAGTCTCTTGAGGAAACCATGGCCCCTAAGCCCCCTACCCACCTGGCAGTGCCCAGTATCCTACGTTGGAGGGAGGCGACGCTGACTGGTCATCGAGCAGGAGGAAGAAAGCGCCCTCCCTCCATTTCGCAGGAGAGATGTGGACGCTGAGGAAGGGTTCACTCCAGTTGAATGCCAAGCCTGAGTTATTCAAGTTCCTGGGCACTCTCGGGGTTCCCTGAGCCCCCCAGTTACTGCAGACTTCTCTGCCTAAGACCCCTCTTCGGGGCTGCTGGGGAAGGAGGGGGTGGAGAGGGAGGAGGGGCGGGAAGAGGAGGGGGAGGGGCACGGAGGGGGAGGGGTCCCAGCCCCGGCCCGGCCGCTGGGCTTGCAAGCAGGTTCATCAATGGCGAAGCCGGAGGGCCTGAATGGAGGGCACAAACCGCCCCTTAAAGGCGCCGGCCTTTCGGGTGCCCGAGCGCTCCTCCCCACGACCGAGGGCCGCCGGGGAGCTCGGGTGGGCGGGGCGGGGCTGGTGGCCTCGGATAAGAGGCCGGATGGAGGGCGTGCCGGCGGGGAGACCCCGGCCGGGAAGGGGTCCCTCGGCCCCGAGGCTCTCGCCCTCCCTCCGGGCCGCCCTTCCGCTCCTCACCGCCGGGGCGAACCCGAGCGCCCCCTCCCCCAGGGGTCCAGCTGCGCCCACGCCGCCGCCCGCCCGGCCCGAGGGGGCGGGGGGCGCAGCTGCCGCGGGGGCGGGGGGCCCCGCTCCCCCCTCGGCCTGGGCCGGGGTCCGGCGCCCCGGCGGGGCCCCTCCGCCGCAGCTGCGCCCCCTCCCACCCGTGCACACAAAGACGACAGCTCAGCCCCGCGCGTGCGGCCGCGCTCCGGGGAGGCGGTGCGCACACGCCCTCGGGGACCCGGGGACCGGGGGTGAGGGGCCGGGGCCGGGACCGAGGACCGAGGACGGGCAGGCCGTACCTACAGGCGCGCAGCTGCGGCCGCCCGGGCCGGAGCGCCGGGGGAGCGCTGCCCGGACCGCGGCCGGGCTCCCGGGGCCCGATGGCTCATGGCTCACGGCTGGCTGAGCTTCCTCCAGACGAGACCCGGCAACGGCGGCGCCTCCTTCCCCGGTTCCACAGCCTGGATGATTTGTGCGCTCGCGGCGGCTCCGGAGCGATTCCCCGCGCGGCTCTCCGAGCAGGATGAGTCCCGCGCGCTCCGAGCCCAGCCCCGCGCGGCGCGCGCCCCGCTCGCGCGCGCCTCCGGCCCCGCCCCCGCCCTACGCGCGCCTCCGGCCCCGCCCCCGCCCTACGCGCGCCTCCGGGCCACGCCCCCACGATGTGCCACGCCCCTCGACGCTCTCCGAGCCCCGCCCCGCCCTCCTTTCCTCCGCCCTCTCGCTCCCCACCAGTGGCCTGGCGTCACGCCTCCGGCCCCGCCTCCGGCCCGCCCACCTGACGGCCTCTGGTCCCGCCCCGCCCCGCCCCCTGGCGGCTTCCAGCTCCACGGAACCCTTAGGCGACGCCCCCTGATGGGTCTCGTCGCCTCCCCGCGGCGAGGCGGCGGAGATCGCATGGTCTGGGCTGAAGGGGTTAAGAGCCAGACCCGAGCCGCGTGTTCCTGGGCCCGGAGCCGACCCCGGGCTAGGCATCGGAGTCGTCTCGGGTTCCCCGGTGTGGTGGTCCCAGAGGCGCAGGGGAAGGGCCTTGGGGCGCCTCTCGGTGGCGCGAACCCGGAGGGGCCCACGCGGCCTCGAGGAAGTCGGGATGTCGCAACCGAGGAAGTCCGCGTCCGGGTCTGCAGAGTTCTGGCACACACCCCGCCCCTTCTCCCGGGCCCCCCTGAGCCAGGAGCAAAGCCCTCACCTCCCTGCCTCCCCCATGGGGGACCAAGGCCGCCCGGAGTGGTGTCGGAGGTCACCGAGGACCCTGGGCTAGCAGTCACTATCTGGGCCTCTTCACACCCACCCCCAGGCCTTGGGGACCCCTGGCCCTCATTGTTTCTCTGCTCTGGTAACTTCATTGAGAGTTCTTCCCTTCCCCCCCTCCCACCCCGTGGCCTCTGACCTTCGTAGAACCAAAGCCACTCAAAGCTGTTTACTTAGCTGGGTGGGCAGGAGTGTACAATGCTCCTGGCATTGAGGAGACCGGCCTGGATCCCTCACCTGCTGGCCTTGATGCTACCTTCCCATAAGGGACAGTGAAACTATCTAGGCCTGGGCCTGGCCCCTTCTCTGTCACCACACACACCAGCTGCTCCTCGCCAGACCTAGCTAGCAAACACTTAATGAAAGCTTAGGCGCCAGTCCAGCCATCGACCAGCCTGGGGCCATGGGAGCACTGGCTGGGAAACAGGACACCCATGAATGAGGCAGGAGAAGAAGAGGAAGGGGAAAGCTGGTCACCTGAAGGAAGGGTAGACAGTTGGCCTCTGGCTGTGGGCAGTCACAGGGCAGTATGGGACTAACCTCGTTCTGGATGGGTGGTCTGGGCTTGCTGGCGGACTGTCAGGTGGCCAGAGATGATTCTGGGATGAGATACCAGGGCAGGACAGAAGGAGGAAGTGAGGAGGGACACCCTCCCTAGGGACTGACCACAGGAGGAACTGATGGGAAATGGGGGCACTCACTGATTGGCCAAGAGCAGCATTCATGGAGAGGACAGGTTCATTCTGGGTCCCTGAAGGCAGGAGGCTCTGATGGGGTATATGTTGAGGGGTGCTGATGGAAAGAACCCCCCCCCCCCAAAAAAAAAAAGACAGCTCCAAAAGCCCTGATGTTCAGAACTAAACCTCATAGGAAGTCTGCAGGCCTGGAGACCCCCCCCCCCCCCCCCCCCCCCCCCCCCCCCCGGTCTTGTCCAGACTGGGGATGAGGTAGACTGGAGCTGTCGCTTCAGGGGTTTGAGGCTGGCACTCTTGGGCCCTGGTGGCTCCAGGCTCGGTTTGCCTGGCAAGTGGGGCCCCAAGGGGAAGTGACATAGCCCAGATACCCATGGAGGCACGCACATATAGGGAAGCAGGGAGTCCCTGGGGGCTGACGCATTACAGCTCAACTGCCTGCAGTGCTCTCAGCTGCCACCTTGGTGGCTTCTCAAAGGGAGACTGCATTTCCCGTTTTTACTTGTTTTCACTTGAGCCTGGGGCTCTACCGCATGAACCACAGCCCTACTTCCTGCTTTTTACTGGTTCACTGGAGATGAGAGTTGTCCTGCTTGGGGGAATTCTTGAGGACAGGATGTTGGGGAGATCTTCCTTGGGTACCAAGGCCATGCTCCCACAGCCGGGGCCTGGCGCAGCCCCTGGGGTCCTGCTGGAGGTGCCTCTGGCCTCGTGAACCCTCAGTGTCCCTCAGGAATCAGAACACGCGATGTCATCAACATGCTAGCATTTATTTCAAATATGCAAAGTGGCATGCGCAAGCACAAATCTAACTTAGGTTCTTGCCAGGGCTCCAAGCTGAGGCCACACGAGGGTGGCCATGGCCAACTGTGACAGGCTGGGGCTCCTCAGGGCAGCCTGGGGTCCAGTATAGCAGCGCAGGGCTAAGGGGGCTGGGGAGGGGGATAGAGTCTGGAATACCTCACCAAAGAAGCAAGCAGAAATCCCATGGGGGTGGGGTAGGGGGACTGTGCAGCCCTCTGGGACTCCCTGTTTGGTGGTGAATCAATGTAACCTATGTCCTGGTTACAAAAGCAGGCCTGGAGGGAAGGCTCCTTGGCTGGTTTTAAGGTGTTCAGGAGATCTGGGGGAGGGTTGTGCCAGAGCCCGGGTGCACTCAGGTCTGGGACTCAGACCACTAGCCATGGCTGCTATGGATGCTCAGTGCTAGGGTCACTGCTGACCTCGGCCGCCGCTGCTGGGGCTGGGGTCAGCCTGGGGTGGGCATTGGGACCCTGGACCTGGGGGCCTGATGTTTCAAGGGGACCTGGGCACTGCTGGGACAAGGACGAGGACAGTACCCGGGGAGGTGGGGGATCTCTGGCGAAAGGTAAGTAATTAGAAACAGCTAAGCAAGCGGGGGGGGGGGGGGGGAGGTGACCCTCGCTGTCCGGGGGCTCTGGGGTCACTGCCACAGGTCACCAGCCGCCCCCTTGTCACTCTCGTGGAACTTGTGCAGGTGGTCGGCGAACCTGGGAACAGGAGCAGATATGAATGAGGTGTGTGGGTGAGGGGGCCGGCACCTGTGGCGCATGGGGCCGGGGTGCCGGGGGGGGGGGGGGGGGGAGGGCTGAAGGCATCACAGTGGGGGAGCTGGTGGCCGGAGCTGCTGGGGGTCGGGCTTGGGGTGGGGGCCCCGGGGGGAATGCTCACTTCTTGGCGCAGGTGGCTGCACAGTCTCTCTCAACGCTCTCGCTCCAGGCCAGCTTGTAGAGCACCTGGCCGGGGAGAGGGGACACGCAGTGAGTGCTGCCACCCAGAGGTCCTGGCCTGGGCCTGCGCTCTGGGGACAGAAGGGCTCCTGTGTCCCCAAGGCCCAGGGTATGTGGGCCCTAGAGACAGTCTTGACCTGCCAGGCACTGTGAACAGAGACAGCAGGACCCAGAGCTTCTGGGCCCTAGTGCAGCTACCTCTGGGGGGACGGCCATCCCTGAGGCTGGAGCCTCCCATACCTGCAGCCCACCTCTCACTGGGCCTCAGTGTCGGTCCCGGCATTCATTGAGTCCCCTATGCGCCTGGGTGTCCTTCCTCTGTGCTGTCCCCTGGGGGATGAGGTAGACCCGCCCCCTCCCCACCGAGGTGCCCACCTCAAGCTTCCCTTCCACCAAGGTCCCTGCAGGTCACCTGGGGGGAGTCACCCAGACCCCTTCTCCAGAGCAGCCTGGCTGTGACCCAGGCAGAGGCCCTAGAAGGGGAAGGGAGTAGCAGGAGCCGAGGGGTGGCTCCCTGCTGTCCTAAAGGCCCTGTGTGTGGCAGTTGGGAGATGTCCTGAGTTGCCTGCTGCTGTCTGGATGCTTACCAGAAAGACCAGGCAGTGCAGGAACAGAGTGTAGAAGAAACCGATGGTGCGTGCCATCTTGTTGGAGAGAACCAGCCGTCCCTGGGGAGCAAGCGAGGGCAGTGGGTGGGGCAGGGCTGCCCCAGCTCCCACGAAAGGGGCAGCAGGGAGAGGGACAGGGCAGGCACCTGGCTACAGGATTTCTGGGCTGTGGCGCCCCCTGCAGCCCAACCTCAGGCCCTACACCCCATGGTTCTGCCAGAGGCTGGATGGATCTCGTCTGTGGGGGTAGGGGGAATGGATGGGTGGGGGTGGGGGAGGGAACTTGAACCACACCCCCAGCTGCTTTTGTTGGCATGTTATTTTTGAGACAGGGTCTGGGCTGGTCTTGAATCTGATTCTCTGGCCTCTACCTCCCAAGTATACGGGAGTACAAGCATGCACACCCATGCCTGGTCCACTCACGGCAGGGTCTGCGCTCTTCGAGAGGCCTCTCCAAAATAGGGTGTGTGTGTGCGTGTGTGTGTGTGTGTGTGTGTGTGTGTGTGTGTGACGTGACAAGGTGCCCAGAGTCAAAGGCTCAGGCTGTCCCTGGGGCTGGCACTCACCATGCCGAGGGTGGCCTTGTCCCAGGGGCTCAGGCTCAGGTACTTCCTCTGCCGCTCCTGAAGGGGGGTGATGGAGGCCTGAGAGGGCCTGGGGTGCGGAGGGGTTCCTACCCCGCCCACAGAACCTGGGGTCACAGGGCCCCCTTCTCTAGGTGAGCCCCCTAGGGGAAAGTTGTGCATGGACAAGGCAGGGTTCTACAGGGAGGAGGGGTGTGGGCCCCCACATTCCTCTAGGTTGCCCAGTTCATCGTGGCACCCTCTCTACAGAGAAACATGGAGGCCACTTGGGAGGCAGGGCCGGGGGAGGCTGGGGGCTCACGAACCCGCTTGCTGAAGGAGGAGAAGGGATCCAGGCGCTCCTCGTACTGGGACGAGTACCGCTGCTCGGTGTCATCGCTGCCAGCACCCTGCGAGGCCAAGGACCGACCAGACAGTCACGTGATGCCCAAAGGGGAGGCAGGCTGGCTGACACATCCCAGCCCAGCCTCAGTTTCCTTATCCAGGAAGGGAGCCCTGGGAGTGGGTGCTGTAGTGTCAGCACCTGCCAATGCCCACCCTGGCTGCCACCTCTGAACACCCACAGAGACCTAAGGAGATGGACTGGTAAAGAAGACCTTGAGGACAGAGTTAGGGAGACTCTGCAACTCAACAAACAAGCCTGGTGTGGTGGCTCACACTCAAAAAT